CTCCGAGTCTTTCATTTGCTCTACGCAAACTCCGAGTCTTTCATTTGTTCTATGCCGTAACCTCCTAGTCTTTCATTTGTTCTATGCAAACTCCGAGTCTTTCATTTGTTCTATGTCGCAACCTCCGAGTCTTTTATTTGTTCTATGCAAACTTCGAGTCTTTCATTTGTTCTATGCAAACTCCTAGTCTTTCATTTGTTCTATGCAAACTCCCAGTCTTTCATTTGTTCTATGCCGCAACCTCAGAATCTTTCATTTGTTCTATGCAAACTTCGAGTCTTTAATTTGTTCTATGCAAACTTCGAGTCTTTCATTTGTTCTATGCAAAGTCCGAGTCTTTCATTTGTTCTATGTCGCAACCTCAGAGTCTTTCATTTGTTCCATGCAAACTTCGAGTCTTTCATTTGTTCTATGCAAACTCCGAGTCTTTCATTTATTCTATGCAAAGTCCTAGTCTTTCATTTGTTCTATGCAAACTCCGAGTCTTTCATTTGTTCTATACCGTAACCTCTCTAGTCTTTCATTTGTTCTATGCAAACTCCGAGTCTTTCATTTGCTCTACGTCGCAACCTCAAAGTCTTTCATTTGTTCTATGCAAACTTCGAGTCTTTCATTTGTTCTATGCAAACTCCGAATCTTTCATTTGTTCTATGCAAACTCCTAGTCTTTCATTTGTTCTATGCAAACTCCGAGTCTTTCATTTGTTCTATGCTAACTCCTAGTCTTTCATTTGTTCTATGCAAACTCCGAGTCTTTCATTTGTTCTATGCAAACTCTTTCATTTGTTCTATGCCGCAACCTCGGAGTCTTCATTTGTTCTATGCAAACTTCGAGTCTTTCATTTGTTCTATGCAAACTCCGAGTCTTTCATTTGTTCTATGCAAACTCCTAGTCTTTCATTTGTTCTATGCAAACTCCGAGTCTTTCATTTGCTCTACGCAAACTCCGAGTCTTTCATTTGTTCTATGCCGTAACCTCCTAGTCTTTCATTTGTTCTATGCAAACTCCGAGTCTTTCATTTCTTCTATGTCGCAACCTCCGAGTCTTTCATTTCTTCCATGTCGCAACCTCCGAGTCTTTCATTTGTTCTACAAACTTCGAGTCTTTCATTTGTTCTATGCAAACTCCTAGTCTTTCATTTGTTCTATGCAAACTCCT